TGATCATTTATATGTAACAGAGAAACTAAAATGACTCTGAGCTTATGTAAATGTACAAAGAATTTACATATGCAAAAAACAACAAGCAGAGCAATTCAGGGAAAACCAGCTGAGTATCAACCAATATGGCAAATCCAATACTCACCCCGACATGTGACACCATTCTATATCATTTGGAACATCAGATCGATGCAAACCTGGGCCTGATCCACAGAGCCAAGCACTGACATGTGTGTTCAGCCGCTATAAGCCAATAATAAATCTAACGGCTTTGGCTGGATTCAGCAAAGGTAAATCTACTCGTACTTGTATCTGTTCTAGGACACTCTCTTTTATGTACCTACAACGACACAAGCAGTGAATTGAATCCAACATATAATCCACAAATAACTACTCAGAGGATTACCCAGGGGTTTGACAATCCATATGGAAACAGAGGTTTCAGTCTAATGGGCTCACCTCAGAAGACATTGTCTCCGTTCTTATATCGTGTTTGCACACCGGGCAGGATGTACCCCATTTTGTCAACCAAGAGTCGATGCAACTCAAGTGAAAAGCTGCATAAGAGCTTTAAGTCAACCAACTGATATGAGTTACCCACTTACAAAACTAGAAAAAAGGCCAAATCTTTGAAGATTTTTCTGATGTACATATCTGACCCATCATATCATTCTAAGCAATGGGGTAATACCGATAAGTTTGAATTCACTGTCAAACTAGTCTTACTGGAATTGCCAGAATGAGTATTCCTAAAGTACCCTAAAGCAGAAAAAAAATGTATTTTGGGAACATAGAATCTAAGAGAAACCTATTAAAGTCTTCCTAGACTAAGCGTACGCTTCCATCCTGTGATGTGTTCATCTCCAATACCTCAATAAACACACGAACGGTGGAAAATTTCCCGTTATTTTATCCCACAGTAAAGAACAAACAAATGAGTAGCAGTTATTACCATGTTGGCAGGGGAGAAGTCTCAGGTTTTCTCCAAATCTATAGTCCTCGAGGCATATTGCACATGTTTCTCCGGCCTTTTGCTGAACAGAATCACTGAAGGTGAAGCAGGGGAGTGCGTGGACCAGCTTTGCATCTACTCTCATGGTCCTGTTGTGCCTCCCTCGCCATTGGGTCCAGTGTCTGGGTGCAAAGAAGGCAAGCAGCAGGAAAGTGACGATTAGAAGGAGAGAGAAGAATGAGATGGCCAGCACAGTCCAAGCACTCCCCTTGCTAGGCGGATAAAGGCAGCATTCACCCTCTCGGCCTCTAGAGTACTTTTTCAAAATCTCACCCGCGACATGTGAAACGAAAACTGCATCCACTGTAATGTCCTGAGGGTTCACCTTCACTGTGCAAAACAAATGTTGATTAATGTTCTTGATTTGGACCAGAGCGAGCTTATCCTAATTCCTTGAAACAAACAAAAAAAAGTTTCTCTTGGGCGTTGACTAAAGTTGCCCACCCTAGCTCAAGAACAAGAATGGAATCAAACGAAGAAATGAAATGTAAACTTGGGAGGGAGGCCATAGGCTTACTAACGACGAGATCCTCGTTCTCGATGTTGTCATAGACAATCACAGCTTGGAAACCTGAGTTCTGTGCATTGAGGAGCTTGTCCTCGAAAGAACATTCGCCTCGGATAATCAAAGCAAACTTAGTTCTTTGTTCTGTCCAGTTAGATGCGGCGGCGTGGCGCAGCGGCGAGCAACCGTCGAGAGGATCTGCGACGTATAGAGCTCCGCATATTCCGTTTTTGGTCGCGGAGCCGTCTATAATAAAAAAAAAAAAACACAGAGAATCAAAATCAACGCCCAGAAAGAATGAGAGATTTGGGATTAGCAAAAGAAATTGACCAAATTTAGCAGGGAGATCGGCAAAAGAGGCGGAGATGGAATTGAGGACGACGGTGGCGACTGAAAACTGTAAGAGGGAAGAGAAGAAAGGAGCTGCGAGTAGACAGCTTGAGACGACAAGCCTCATCTCTCTCGATGGCTTTTTCAGTTTCAGGCAGTCGCATAAAAGGAAGGAAGGCTTTGGTTTCTTCACCCAAACCTTCTGCTCTCCTCAGAGGCTTCTTTTATGGTGGTTAAAAAGAAAAGGTCCAGCGTGGCATTGATTGAAGAGTAAAAGCACTTTAAACGATTTTAACACTTTCAAATTCACTCGAATCTATCTTGTTCCATGGTGCTCGAGGTAAGTTGAGGATTTCTTTCGAATGTGAATTAGCTTTCTTTCTATTATTTGGATTTGCTCGTCTCATCTCGTATATACTCTCGTCAGACAACGATGATATGCATCAACAATTCGGAGTGGATGCGGAATGAAGATTATGCTCCTTCCAGGTTCCAAGCTCTGTCAGGCTGATTGATGCTATCAATCTTATGTGCCAAGCTAAAACCCAGGTTTATCTTCGTACCACTGTTTTAATTATTGCAATTGTTAAAAGGGAATTATTAACTTAACTGTGTTTAACAAACAAGTTAATATAAAGTTTTTTTTTTTTGGGTCAACAAGTTAATAAAGTTTATGTAATTACAAGGAAAATTAATAATATCTAAAATAAATTTAGAGATTTGGTATTTAAAATGTCTATACATTAGATTAGGATCTCAATAAATAATTGTGTGTTTGTAAACCAAAAAAAATGATTGTTTATATCTAAATTTGCATCTAATTAATATTGTACAAATTTAATAAATTATCTACAAAAACATTAATTTTTTAAGTTCGGAGGGTCAGGAGTGGGACATATCATTTAGTGTGATTATGTAACATAAGGGAAAATATAATACGGACGCACCCAACCTTTTTTTCTTGTAAGAAAGATTTAACTTGAAAAATTAATTTAGTAATGAAGACAATTAAATACGTAGGACTATTTGTGGTGAAATGAAACTCCAGTCAGAATTAAGTGAGACCGTTGGATCTAAGCAAAGCCAACGATTGGGAGGATTAGTCTTTTGCTTTGACCCTCCTTTTCCTCCCCATTTTTTTGTTATATAGTATTAAGTTTTCTC